TTTTACTCAGCCACAGAAAGGAATGATATGATACATACTATAACATGGATGAACCTTGAAAACATGTTAAGTGAAATAAGCTAAGTACAAAAGACCGTATGTCCTATGATTCCATTTATATAAAATATCCAGAAGAAGCAAATCCAAAAAGGCAGAAAGTAGATTTATGGCTGCCAGAAGGAGACATGTGAAGTAACTGTTTGATGAATATAAGGTTTTCTTTAGGGGCGATGGAAATGTTCTAGAACTATATAGTGATGATGGTTGTATAACATAGTTCAAATGATTCATTTTAAATTATGTGAATTTTACTTCAGCTAAAACTTTCTTTTACATTTATTTATTTAATCAGTAGATGCTTACACTTAGGTGAGATGTATCTGCATAGATCAGTTGATTTTGGTCATTATGTGTCTGCTCTGAGGCAAACCTTTATTGCATGTTGGGGAAAATACCCCCCCCAAAAAAGACAAAATGCGATCTTCAGGACATTGCTAGTCTGTTTAGGAAAAAGGGAAGGATGAGGAAGTAGTTGATATATTCGAGTGACCCCATCTCAGAAAAGGAAGAGATCACCAGGTTTGGTTACCAGAGAAGGCTTCTTAGAAGTGATGGGACCTTGAAAGGTAATCAGAGAAGAGGGAGAGAATACACCAGTTGATAGAAATGTACTTGCCAGGGAGGAAGAGGATGACGGCAGGGACAAGCAGGGATGGCCAGAGTGTAGGGTTTGTATAATGGAATATCAAGGAATAATGTTGAAAGTATAGTTTGGAGCCACATAGGGAAATCTTAAAAGCTGTCTGCCAGTACTTAACTATGCAAGGCAGTAGATAGCAAAGGTTTATTATTGATGATAGGAATAAAATATGAAATAAAAATGAGGAAGACAATAAGGAGACTTGCAGTAATTTCACTAAATCTAACACAAGCCATTATTTAGTTTTTCAATAAGTATTTATCGAGCACTTATTATGTTCCATGCTATCTTCTATGCTAAGGATAGGGCAATACCTAAGATAAAAAGTTCCCTGCCCTCTTGGATTTGCATTCTAGTATACAACTCAAGGACTGACTGCTATGTCCAGTGGACAAATGCAATTTAAAAGTTAAGGCGTGTGTGTTATAATGTAGTGGGGTATGAGCTCTAGAACCAGATTTATTAGATTTGAATCCTGGCTTGCTCCATCATTTACTGGATGTGTGTCCTTGAACCAGTTACCCTATATTTCCGTTTCTTCATCATTTAAGTGGGGGATAATTAACTCTTTCATAGAGTTTTATGAGGTCTAATTGAGATGATAAATGAAAAGGACTTAAGAGAGTACCTGCATATAGAAAATGTTTGTATCTGATTTGTTAATTTCTACTCAAAGATTTCTCTAGGTCGCTTTCATTTTTCTTCGTTATTTTTGAGGCAGAGTCTTACTCTGTTGCCCAGGCTGGAGGACAGTAGCACAATCATGGCTCACTGCATCCTCCACCTCCTGGCTCAGGTGATCCTTCCACTTCAGCCTCTCAGGTAGCTGGGACTATAAGCATGCATTACCATACCCAGCTAATTTTTTTTTTTTTTTGGTAGAGACAAGGACTTGCCGTGTTGCCCAAACTGGTCTCAAACTTCTGAGCTCAAGTGATCCTCTTGCCTTGGCCTCCCAAAGTCATGAGCCACTGAGCCTGGCTGGTCACTTCTGATTTTAACTTAGTGAGTATATCCCAGAACCCTGGTGGGCTGTATGTCAGGTCTAAGCTCTCTTTAATATGCCATACTGTTTTGGATATTGGACTCGTTGAATTAATTAGCATGCAAACTCTGACTTTCTAATCCAGGTAAGCAGCAAAATGCCTCTCTCTACAAACCACAGTCCTGATTGTGGTTTTGGCAGAAACTTCCAAATATATGCAGAATCAAGAAGTCTTTGAAAACATTCTGGTCTAAGATGTTCTGCTCTTTCAGTATTAGGAGTCTTCTGATAAGGCATGTGGTTGATGACCAGACCTTAGCACATCCACTCTCTCTCTGGCAACAGCTAAATTTGAATTTAATTCCTTTTTGTTGCCTCATCATAGTTTCCACAGGCCACCTCAGTTCTCTGTACCTCTGTGTCCCTTTTCATGATTCAGGGTGAATAGCCAACTATCTCATCAGGAAGTATGTTCTTAGAGTATATTAAGAAGAAAGTATTGGAGCTTGTGGGAAGATACCGCAAACATTTTGATGACCCTTCAATCTCTAGCATAAATTGATTCTAGAATGTAAGCCTCTTGAACATATAAGATCGATGTCATTTTTCTTTTGACCCCTAAATGGTAAAGCATAGTGCTGTGGACTGAACTGTGTCCCTCCAAATCCATATGTTGAAGACTTCACCTCCAATATGACTGTATTTGGAGATAGAGCTTTTAGGAGTTAATAAAGGTGAGATAAAGTCAAAGGGTGGGGCCTGAATCTGATAGAGCTGATGTCCTTATAAGAAGAGGAAGAGAAACCAGAGTTCTTTCTCTGTATGTCATGACACAGCAAGAAGGTGGCTGTCTGCAAGCTATGAAGAGAGCACTCACCAGAAACCGAATTGACTGGGACTTTGACCTTGGACTTCTTGCTTCTAGAGTTGTGAGAAATAAATTTCCATTGTTTAAGCCACTTACCCTATGGTATTTTGTTATAGCAGCCTGAACAGACCAAGGCATATAGATGAAGATGTGAAAAAAAATTGTGGACCGAATTTCAAGATTATTCAGAATTGTGAGGACATAAGAATAATTCTAATACTCAGTTTGAGAGATAATCTTGACTTTATCTTCTATCATATACCAGTGAGGCCAAAAGCTTTGTTCATTGCTTGATTAAGACTTCTCAAAGATCCCATTTTTCCTCTAGTAGAGGTGCTAATGAGAGTGAAATTGTCAAAAACTAATGAGAACCACCGTCAGGAGGACATGAGGTAAGGGAAGAGCCTGGACAACTTATACTTTGTACTTGTAGTTTTTGAACAATTGACCTTGTGGCTATACTTTCATAGGATACATTCAGATTAAAAGTGGTAGAGTGTGAGAGGAGAGTAAGCACTGGAGACTGGCCAGTGAGGAAGCACTTCACTTGGGCCAGGAGAGAAGAGGTGGTACCTCACAGCCAGGAGAAGAGATCCTCTTTCCAGAAGGGATGACTGTGCCTGGGCCCAGTCAAGGATTCAGGTGCAGAGAGTTCTTCAGTATTGCTGAGCCAGATGGTCTACTTTTATTTTGGTGAAAGCCAACCTGAAGCAAAGACACTTTTCTTCTTCCATTAAAAAAAACAACAAAGCAAAACCAGAAACAAAAAAGCTTGTGATGTGGAGCTCTGCCAAGCTTGAACTAGAAAAAAAAATCCCTTGCCTTTTTTCCAAGGCAGTATGTAAATGATGCTTTGTAGTTTTGCTTGTGCAGTCCCTGGGGACTGTTCAGAGGGCCTCACTGCAGTCCATCACTGCTGCAGAATTTGATTTTCATGATTATGAACATTCTATAACGCTATCCCTCTAGGTCCAGTTGTCACCTCCCTGCACAATCATCTTTGGTTGAGGATATTATATTGTTTTGAAATCCAAAGATCTTCTAAAAATGATCACCTAAGTTAGCTTTTAGAATTTCAAGCATGTGTTTATGTGTGCCCTTCTCCCTTCTGTAGTTTTCCAGAGTTCATGTGTGGCAGGCAGAGACATTAACTCCCTTCATTCAAGAAGGATTTCTTACTGCTTAACCCAGAAGCGTTCAGCCTAGCTGGAGAATTTGGAAGAGCGCTTTCAGTTTTTGGCCAGGTTGTGTTGTTTGTAAAAATGGGGCCACGTAATTAGGGCCCCAATGGCGTGTGGATTCATTCACTGGCACATTAGGGAGACCACAGTGCTTTTATGGGTTAGTTGCTGACCGTGCCCTCTCTGTTTCCTTTGATGTAAATATGTCATTGCTAAGAAGGATGACAACTAAGTCCTGACAGGCAGGTTTTCAGAACAAAGAGACAGTGAGTAAAGAAAGAGCTGTGGAAGCCATGCAAGTTCTGTCACTGAGTTCTAAGAACCTGTCCTTTAAAACACAAGCAACTTCCCAAAATCTTTCTAGGAGTTGGATCTGGCACAACTAAAACCCCAGGTAGAGCAAAACCTTTTCAGTGTGTACTTGGCACCAACATGCAGCATCTCACAGAAATGAAGAGAGGACTGGACCTCACTGCTTGGCTCTGGCTGTTGTGCCTCAGAAGAAAGAACCATGTGTGGTGGCTGTACCAACCATTCATTTTGGCACGGCAGTTGTTGGCAACTGTGCGGCTAGGACAAACGAAGAGCTTGCGGTTGGTTAGCACCAGGCCCCAAATTCCTTGTTGAAGACTCGATGGGGAGCCCATATCTGGAGGAAAGAAGTCCAGGCTAAGCAAAGCTACTTAAGGAGAGATTTGCATTTAGAAGTTTCACTTCATTGAGTCAGTTCAAGTTTTATCCTAAATGGACTTTATGCTGAGTTGTGGGGGGCGGTGAAATCACCCAAGTTTGAGATTCCAGCATTACTCATGAGCCTAGCTGCCCACTTTTAGAATTGCATCCACTTGAGGTAATGTTTTTCAGTTTTATAATCCTGGTGCAAATGAAAAGCATTGATGGTGATGCAGATCTCAAGGCCAATGTCACTAATCCATTAAAACGTTTGTTTTGCTTTGCTTTGGCATGGACATAAATGAAACAAATAAACAAAAGTGCTTCCAGAGCGAAGAGAACATACTCTCCCACGAGAGCTCTATTAGATAACCCAGAATAGTCGAAAAAGCACTGGCTCTGGATCCTCAAGATCTGCCTTAAGTTCTAGCTCTGCCATATTGTTTGATCTTAGGCACCTAAGAAAATTCTTCTGTGCCTCAGTTTCTTTATAAAATGAAGAGGTTAAAAAAAAAAAAGACCCTTCCCAATCCTGTGAACCTTTTTTCTTATGGTGAAAAAATATATAATTAGAATTGGCCACCTAGACTCTTTTTAGATGATCCCAGTTTTGTTGGCAACATCCAAAGTGTCATAATCAGGAGCCAGTCGAACATATGCCTTCTTCTCTCCATCGGGCCTAATCAGGGTATTGACCTTGACAACATCAATGTCATAGAGCTTCCTCACAGCCTGTTTTATCTGGTGCTCGGTGACTTTAACATCCATGGTGAACACAAGTGTGTTGCTGTCTTCTATTTTCTTCATGGCAGACTCAGTGGTCAGGGGAAACTTGATGATGGCAGGGTGGTCAAGTTTGTTTCTCCTGGGGGTGCTCTTCCAAGGATATTTGAGCTGCCTCCAGAGCTGCAGAATCTTGGGCCTCTGGAAAGTGGGCAATGTGTAGATTTTCTTTTTTTTGTGGCTGTGGATGCCTTTCAGCACGGCCTTCTTGGCCTTTGCTTTGGCTTCAGCTTTAGAAGGGGGAGGGGCGGGGCAGGGGCAGGGGCAGGAGCAGGACAAGTGTTAGGAGCTTCCTTCTTGACCTCTGGCACCATCTTGTGAAAAGGGGTCCCTGTGAACTTGATTAGGGAGCCTCTAGGCTGTCAGGATGCAGTCGAGTAAGCAGGTGGGAACCAGGTGGGTGAGGGCTCATCACTGGCGGCACCCACACAGCAGGGCCCCGGCTTCACCTAGGCTGGCCGTCTGGCCTGGTCAAGGAGATGGCCACCAGATGGAAGAGGTACAACTGTGTGACTTAAAGAGATCACTCTTTCTGCTCCCTTCTAGGTCCTGGAGAAGCTGAGTATGAGTTCTAGGGCAGCTATTTTCCTGGGGCCTCTTGGTCTGTGTTGGCTCATGGTGCGGACACAGCCTAAAGGGGTCCAAAACATGTCTGTCGAGTATCACTTTAGCTCTGTCTCAAAATTTTGCTACCTTCGGAACAAATCCAAGCCTTCTATCCATTATGGGTACATTCTCTTTTCTTTTGTAGAGACAGAATCTCACTTTGTCACCCTGGCTAGAGTGCAGTGGCACTGTCATAGCTCATGATAACCTCCGATTTCTAGGCTTAAGCAATCTTCCCTCACCTCAGCCTTCTGAATAGCCAGGACTATAGGTGTGCACCACCATGCATGGTTAATTTTTAAAATTTTTTTGTAGAAATGGGTCTCATCATGCTGCCCAGGCTGATCTCAAGCTCCTGGGCTCGAGCAATCCTTCTGCCTCAGTCTCTCAAAGTGCTGGGATTACAGGCACGAACCACCGCTCTGACCCATAATGGATACATTTCTTCCACTCCAGCATGACAGATCTTTGGGAAAATGTGTAAAAGTGAATTGTAGTCTCTTTTTCTCTTTTTTGCCAAATTTATACACAAACTTAAAAAAAATTGTCAGCTTTAAAAATTTTTTTTAAATTCTGATATCTACTTTTATTCTTCAATAGACCATGATGGTGCAAGAAACTTGGTTCTGGAGTGTGGTGTGTAAAGCCCAGTCTTGCCCCATGGGGTGACTGAGCCCCGGGACTCTCTAATCCATGCCACATGCGGTGACCTGAGCAGACCTTGCAGGAAAACAGAAGTCTTGCTGTCCCCTCATGGAGCAGTTGCTCACAGTCCCTTGTACAGCTGTGGCCTGCTTTGTTGGAAAGTACAGCGTGACTTGATCTTTTAAGCTCTTTTCTCCCTATAGGTATTATAAATAACAACTGGTGGGTGTACCTGCCAAAAGGGCTTGAGACCTATACTCAAAAAGCATTGTTTTGTGTAATTTTAACTTCATTAGCAATTATAGAAGAGGGGGGGAAAAAAAAAGAAACCCGAAAGCAAAGCTACTTTGTTGTGACCCAGAAAATCCAAACTGGGGAAAGAAGAATTGAAATGGAGAAAGACAAGCTCTTTTCAAAACCCCAGATTCCTTAGAACTTGTCTAAGAAAGTAAGGAGCATAAACAGGTCTAGTTCCCCAAGACATTCCAAGTTCAGCAATCAAACCAAAGTTTGAATTCAGGTAAGCAGTAGTTGAGAGCTGGCATTCTGACCTCACACAGTGGCTTCAAAATGTTTGACACCCTTTTGGTTTCCGTTTGTTTAAAGTTAAGAGAAAGTTAAATTGCTCTATTTTGGCTTCTGTATTTGGGTTCCGGAGGGATTGCCATCTGTTTTAGAGCTCTCTAGGAAAACAGAGAGGTGACATTCTGGGACACCAACCCAAGGAAGAAGGAATGATGAGACCAGGCCAACACAGGATCACACTGTTGTTATTACCCCTTCTTCCACTCTCAAGTTCTAGCAACTGAATTGCCAGTCCATCTGTGGTACTTGTGATCCATGGAAGAACTCATGAGCGACTGTCTAAATCATGCAGACAGGAAATGAGTGAAAAGCAAACAAGGAGTTTCCACCTTTTGGGCAAACATCTGTTACCCAAACTGGCTGGCTTTTTTTTTTTTGGTGGTAAAATACACATACCATAAAGTTCACCATTTAAAAGTGTACGGGTCTGTGGCATTTTAAGTACATTCACATTGTTGTGCAGCCATCCATCACGATCATCCATCTCCAGAACTTTTTCATGATCTCAAATTGAAACTTTGTACCTATTAATAGCAGCTCCCCATTTTCCTCTCACCCTGAGCCCTGGCAACCACCATTCATTCTACTCTCTGTTTTTTGGAGGGTTTTTTTGAGTCGGGGATCTCACTCTATCACCCAGACTGGAGTGCAGTGGCATGTTTGCAATTCACCACAGCCTCCAATTCCTGGACTCAAGCAATCCTCCAGCTCCAGCCTATAGGTGTGTGCCATCATGCCTGGCTAATTTTTTTTTTTTTTGGTAGAGATAAGGTTTCACTATGTTGCCTAGACTGGTCTCAAAATCCTGGGCTCAAGCAATCTTCTTGCTTTGGCCTCCCAAATTGCTGGGATAACAAGTGTCAGTCACCACATCCAGCCCTTTCTGTTGTTATGAAGTTGACTACTCTAGATACTTCATATAAGTGAAATCATACAGTATTTGTTCTTTTGTGATTGGCTTATTTGATTTAGTATAATAATGTCTTCAAGTCTCATCCATTGTAGTGTGTAGCATGTGCTGAATAATATTTCAGTGTATGTATATACCATATTTTGTTTATCCATTTGTTTGTTAATAGACATTTGTGTTGTTTCCACCTTTTGAGTATTGTGAATAACACTGCTATGAACACTGATGTACAAATATCTGTTTCACTTTTTTTTGGATATATGCTTAAAAGTAGAATGGCTGCATCATATGGTAATTCTATAGTTTTGAGGAACTGCTGTATTGTTCCCCACAGGAGCTGCTCCATTTAATATTTCTTCCAGCAGTGCACAAGAGTTTCAGTTTCTTTTGCTTTTTATTGTTTCTGGGATGGATTATAATGACCATCCTAACTGAAGTGAAGTGGTCTCTTACTGTGGTTTTGATTTTAATTTCTCTAATGATTAGTGATAGTGAATATCTTTTCATGTACATATTGGCCATCAGTATGTCTTCTTTTATAAAATGTCTATGCAAGTTTTTTGCCCATTTAACAAAATTTTTATTTTTAATATGTGGGGAACAATTCAGGGTTAGGTATACAAATGTTCATTATGCAGGTACCCTTGTTGATGAGGTGTGCTCCTCCCTCCCCTGGCAGATTCGCACTACTGCCAATCCTGTCCCTGCCCTCCCCAGGCAGTTCCTACTACTGCCAATCCCTTTCTTACAGTATTATGATAGTTGTTCAAGGCCTGCTTAGGAGTGAGAACATGTGATATTTGGTTCTTTGTTTCTGTGACAGATCACTCAATATTATAGCCTCTGAGTCTGACCAAGTTGCTGCGAAGTTCATAATTTTGTCCTTCTTTGTGGCTGCATAATATTCCATCATGTATATGTACCACATTTTTTAAATCCAGTTCTCTTTTGGTGGGCAGCAGTGTTGGTTTCATGTTTTTGCTATTATAAATAAACATGCATGTGCAGGTATCTTTTTCATAGAGCGATTTAAGTTCCTCTGGGTATATACCCATCCTTGCCATGTTAAAATTAGATTTGTCTGTTTTATTGTTGTTGAGTTGTAGGAGTTTTAAAAAAATATCCTGAATATCATCCTTTATCACATATATGATTCACAAATATTTCCTCCCATTCTGCGGGTTGCCTTTTCACTGTTGATAGTGTCCTTGTGCACAAGTTTTAAATTTCGATGAAATCTAGTTTATCTGATTTTTCTTTTATCGTTTGTGCTTTTGGAGTTATATCCAAGAATCATTGCCAAATTGCTTTTAGATATTTTTAAAAGATAGTTCTTTTCTCTGTAATACCACAGAAACCATTACTTGTAGAAATTTATATCTGAAGGGATTTTTCTTTGAGATGGCTCTTTTTTACTAGTTTGGAGAGGCACCTTTATATTATTTTGGAATTGATTGATTTCACTTTCACCATGCTCTACCATTCTCCTCTCAAGGGAAATACAAAGGTTTATTTATAGGTAAAGAGAAAAGAGAGTGAGGGAAAGGCTTAGTCTGAAAATAACCTCAATCATTTATATTATAGGGTCTGAGGAAAAGGCAGATTTCAGAAAGTCTGGGGAGTATGAGTGAGTCCTTTAGCCATCATGACTTGCAAGAAGTATATGACACCAAGCTGGATGGCCATTTGTCTGAGAAGGTTGAGATCTACTTTCCAAAGCACCCCACCCCACAAATTTTTTTCCTCATGCTGGAAAGATTATTGAAAAGTGGGCAGGTCCTCAGGGCGAACCTCCAGGTAATCTCAGTCTCCCAGCACCCAAGAAAAGAATATTCAAAATCTAAAACTTCCCCAAGTATATCGACAGTGACTTTTATAAATGTTCATTCATTTTTAGAAAATACAGTATATTACTTTTCTCTTTTATTAAGTGTTAGTAAAACCCTTCTAATAGAAAATCCTTTCGCTCCTTGCCAGTTTGTCTTGCTTTACTCAATATTGTTTCTGGGTTATAGTCTGTGCACACAATGACTGTTAATAGTAGCTACACATCCAAAACACTATGGATATTGCTTGTTATAAAAAAGCATCTGGGGAGGACATCGTAAATTTATACAATCTCATCTTGAAAAGCAAATTAAATATAGAGACTGCCTTAAGGACATACTTTTTTACACTCGATGGTTTCAGAAGAATGTATTTAAAGAGTATATATGCTTTAGTTTTTTCTCATTACTTATGTCACAGCTGTGAACTTCTGCGCCACGGGGCTGCTGTTTGCTTTAGACATCCCGGGTTGAGTTAGGTGAGTATTTGAGCATTTTCCTACCCAGCGTGTGTCCAGATGTGAGGTTGTTTTCTGTGGCTTTTATACTTGTACATCTGGTCTGAAAAGTGGTTTTGTGTGCCAATAATTGTCCTTGTGCTGCTGGCTGCACAGTTAACTTGCCTTAGGGATACAGAGAGCTGTGGGTGTCTGGATTTTGCAGTTTTAGAAAGTTGAGTGATGGCATACTTTATAAAGGTGACCCTTTTCAAAGGAACTGCAGTTTAATTAGTGGATTCCCC